TGCTGTGCCCTCACCCACTGCACACACTGTCATGGCACATGGGCATCCCAGACAGCCCCAGTACCTGCTCAAGAGAACCTAGAAGAAGTAAGTTTTTTAAAGTTTCGTTCTGTATGGGAGGGAGGAAGACAGGGATGAGGAGTCAGTCATAGGTCGTAGGCACACATTTCTTTTCCGTAAAAGGATTTTTCTCATAGAAGCTGCATAAAGGGTGGTCTCATTTCCCAGCTCCTCCCAAAGAGATTCCGTGTGTTCAGCGGGACAGGCCAGCACTTCTGGGAGGCCAGTGCCCTGCTGACAACCTTAGTTCTCAGCCTCTGCACACTCCTCCTACCAATACTACATCACCTTCTTGTTGTCTCCAGGCTGTTTCCAACTCAGAAATCCAGGGAGAAGATATTTGCAAACACATATCAAATAAAGGGTTAGTATCCAAAATCTACAAAGAACTTACCAAACTCAACACCCAAAAAACAAATAATCCAGTGAAGAAATGGGCAAAAGACATGAATAGACACTTCTCCAAAGAAGACATCCAGATGGCCAACCAACACATGAGAAAATGCTCCACATCACTCATCATCAGGGAAATACAAATGAAAACCACAATGAGATACCACCTCACACCTGTCAGAATGGCTAACATTAACAACTCAGGCAACAACAGATGTTGGCGAGGATGCAGAGAAAGAGATCTCTTTTGCATTGTTGGTGGGAATGCAAGCTGGTGCAGCCACTCTGAAAAACAGTATGGAGGTTCCTCAAAAAACTAAAAATAGAACTACCCTACGACCCAGCAATTGCACTACTAGGCATTTATCCATGGGATACAGGTGTGCTGGTTTGAAGGGACACATGCACCCCAATGTTTATAGCAGCACTATCAACAATAGCCAAGTATGGAAAGAGCCCAAATGTCCATCGATAGATGAATGGATAAAGAAGATGTGGTAGGTATACACACACACACACACACACACACACACACACACACACACAATGGAGTATTACTCGGCAATCAAAAAGAATGAAATCTTGCCATTTGCAACTACGTGGATGGAACTGGAGGGTATTATGCTAAGTGAAATTAGTCAGAGAAAGACAAATATCATACGACTTCACTCATATGAGCACTTTAAGACACAGAACAGATAAACACAAGGGAAGGGAAGCAAAAATAGTATAAAAACAGGGAGGGGGACAAAACATAAGAGACTCTTAAATATGGAGAACAAACAGAGGGTTACCGGAGGGGTTGTGGGAGGGGGATGGGCTAAATGGGTAAGGGGCATTAAGGAATCTACTCCTGAAATCATTGTTGCACTATGTGCTAACTAACTTGGATGTAAATTTAAAAAATAAAATAAAATACTAAATAAAAAAAAAAGAAAGAAATCAAAACTGTGTGATCTGTACACCAGGCTGCAACTTACAAAGGGCTTTCATGTAAAGTATCCCTGTTAATTCTTGCAACAAACCTGTAACACATATGTCATCCCCATTTTATAGCCACAGAAACTGAGGCTCAGATTAGGTAACATCTGAGATCATCCACCAGAAAAGCAGAGGCACCAGGTCTTAGCTCCATGGTGGACACTCCAGAACTCACAGATGGCCTCAGGTCCCAATTCCCCTACCCTGACCCTTCAAGCCCGGATTAGCTGTTTCCTAGGTGCCCACCCTGGGTTTCTCTGGAATCTAGCACTTATCATACACACAGAACTTATTCCACAGAACTTATTCCCGCCCATATTCCACACTATACTGGGTATTCCTTGAAGGCAGGGGCTATAGGACTAGGATCTCTCTCAAGTGTCATTGTCCAGTACCTGGCACATGCTCAGTAGGTAGGTATGTAATAAATATTTGTTACATGGATGAGTGAATGACCAGTTACCAAAGAGATGACTCTGAATAGCCCCCACACCTGATTTCCCAATCCTGGTCTCCATATGCCTGGGGGATACTGACTCCTACCCAGGGCAATCTTGACTTGAGAAGGAACCAATGGAGCTCAAAGCACTTTTATAGCTCCATCAAATAGGGCCCAGACACTCAAGGGCCCAGATACTCACAACAAGGGCCCAGACAGTCAGTGAGGTGGGCTTCCCAGTTCTCACTGGTGGCCATAATAATTGGCATCTGTACACCTGCTCTCATGGAGGGAGGGCTCACACGATCCCCAAACACCACGTGCACATCAGGGCCCCAGAGACAGTAGGGAACACTGAGGTGGCCACTTCCTACTTACTGGGAACAGGGTTGGGTAGGGCAGGGGCCAGAGTCATCAGCCTTGGGAAGGATGCAGTCACATACAAGAATTTTAAGACCGACCCTTCTTCATCTGTGCAGGAATGGGAATGCCAGAACATGGAACTCGGAAACAATAGTCCCCAGGTGGGGCTCAGCATGACCCAGCCAGGCAAACCCTGGGGCAGAAGCTGCACCTCCTGGTCAGGGAACAGGTCAAGGCAGAGTCTGCAGACCCTGACTGCAAACACTGCAGGGTGATCCAGAGAGTGACCTTTCTGCTAAGGCATGGAATGGGAAGGAATATTCAATGACTTCCTGGAGAAACGGAAATGAGCTTTGGGCACAGCAAGCTACTTTCTTCAGGGCACACTGCACCACATCTAACTTTTGCACAACTCTCTTAGCATGGCTTTCAAGACTGTAATTTCCTTAGGGGAACAATCATATCTTATTTTGTCTTTGAGAACCTTCCATCCCTCCTAGTGCCCAGCCCAGGACTAGGTACAGAGGTGGTTCAATGGAGCTCAGCGGGAGAAAAGACAGAGAGGGTGACCCGCAGGAAGAAAAGTCACAGAATCAGAGGTGGAAGGAAGAACCCAATGAAATAGAGAATGCGTGAGCTTCACAGAAGATGAGAAAATGAGCAAGGGCTTGCATGGGACAAGAGAAAGCTGGCTGACAGGAGTGTGGGGATGGGCCCCAGGCCCAGCCCCCGGTAGGGGAGGGGGTGTGGGCAGAGAGGCAGCACAGAGGAAGACTGCAGAATCCCACAAAGGGAAGTTGAGGGGGGAAAAAAAAAACA